GCGTACAAGGAGAATTTTAGGTTATATCACGGATAGCCGAGTAATACAGCAAGGTTTATGGTATGCGCACTTTAACGGACAGTGGATTCAGCGACAAATTGAGATGCATCCGAATAAGACGCCTATCCTACTCGTTGCTGGTTAGTTTTTGAGCGATCGATATTAATTGGTTTTCAGATACCTTTGGTTAGATAGCGAAAAATTCTCTATGTTCTATGACCCTCAACCTAATAAAAATATATGTAGGAACTGTAGGAGCAACCAGATGGGCAGTACTTTTACTACACTGGTTTTGGCAATGGCGCTGATCTAGTGAAAAAATCAATATCTGAATATTTTAAGGGTTTTTCAACATAGAAATATGAGAAGAGCTTTTCCTACAAATTTTCTTTGACAGCTGGACAGATATTTTGCAAAAGATACCTCCTTCAAATTCGTTTTCATGACACTTTTTCCTACGATACACCAAGATACGACGCAGCGACATAGTATATAAATTTCACCCCTCAAATGAAATAGGTTGTACTTGTACAGCTGCCGCTCTTGAGATCCGTGGGAGGCATCGTACACCCCTTCTGACGCGATTAAACGAAACGTGGTCATTTACCTGTTTACCTCTAAGCTCCATTTGGTAACTGGCGCCGTTTTTTGTCGGACTTTTGGGAGAAAAAATAATAATGCGGTCGATGATGGCACTTTCCCACGCTCTTCTCATGTATTGTTTGGGGCACTGCAAAATTCTCATGGAGTCTACGTAAAGGGCGAAAAATGAGAATTTTCTTCTCATTCCAGCTCTAGTATTGATTTTCAGTGGGAAATACAGTGTGAATACATAATTTTCTGAAAAAAAACTGTTGTTCTTAATGACATCGTCATAGATAAGCCAGACAGTAAGGTGCAGACAGCAAGTGCATCTAGGCATGAATAGATTAAACGGTGTTGTTTACCCGTCAGAACTACCATCATTCACGGTAAGCAGCACCGTTCGGTCTTTTCACATCTACGTGAGTGTGTTATCCGCGACTTCACGGAATGCCCCCTCCCCACCTCCTCCGATCTTCTCCTCCGCCCCCAAATAAGCGTACTGAAGATGGAATGGGTTTAAACCTAATGTACTGCGTAGAGAATGTTATTATTTACTATATTGATCGAAACAGATCCAGATTTATCGAGTTTAGCCTAGTCTGAAAAGAGGGACCATGAAAATCTAGTGCTCATATTTCAGGCCGAGACGATCTGCACATGTGCGAAATTCCGCTCGACCAGACTGGACTCACACGCAAGAAGGGCGCCGAGATCCTCGAATCCGAGTTCGAGACCGTCTGGCTGCACCTCGGCGGCGCTCCCCTGCAAAAATGGCGACCATAGGAGCCCCCTTGCTAAAAAAATTCTTAAAAATTCTATTTATCACTAACTTGGCCCCACGGGCCCGTAGTCGTTCCCCCGTTCTCTTCTCCGTACTAGTCCTCTATTGTATACTATGATATCTGTGATTGAAATGGGTTTTGTCGAGTCATTGTCGGGATTTTCTTACGTAGATCACTTCTCTTCCATGTTTCGCGGTAAATTCAAATGTCTAGTGTATTTCCTACCGTATTCTCTCGTATGTAGGTGCTTCCATTACCGTAATTCTCGTTCATATGGTCCCAGAAATGGCAGCTACGACTATAACTTGCTAATAATGGCTTTATTCCACACAACACACATATATGTGTGTAAGCATTCTCGAATGTATAAATTAATGAATATTGGGTTTTTTTTTGTTTTTTTTTCTCTTTAGAAATCTCCAAAATTAGGAAAAAAATTCATTCTACGTTTAAAATGGCTTCGAAAAGCTCAAAAACCATTTTCTTTGTGGTTTTCTAAGGAGTTCTGGCAAGAAAGTAAGGAATTTCGTAAGTTGCACGAATGGCTAAGTTGGTTAATCAATAGGCTGGTAGTGGCGACATCGGAGGTTCGAATCCTGGCTATCTACTTATGTTAGAGGTTGCGTGACTGGATGGCCAAGTGGATTACGCACTTGTTCTCAAGTCGCTGAGTTCGTGGTTCGAGTCCCAACTCAACCGACAGTTTTGGCAAATGTAATCCTTTCTTTGGGAATCCATCAAAGTATGGAGAGTTGTTGTAGCAAGTAATACCGCTGTAGTATGGTCGAGTGGCTAATACAGTGGTCTATCGAGCAAGCAGTCGAGGGTTCGAGTCCCATGGCTGGTGTTAGTTTTGTAGACTGTAGTATTACGTCAAAAACTTAACTTCTATGAGTAAAATTTCGAAATAAATTAATTGACATTTGAGCAAATTGAAAATTACAAGATTCAAGAGGAATTTACGAGTTTTCCCAAGAACATCTAAAGGAACCGAACCAGTAGCTTCCATAGAGCCCAACGAATCCGATCTGAGCAAAAAATTACTCTTCTGAAGAGATTTGCAATGCATCATGGTCACACAGAATCATCTCGCTGATCAGTGAACGCTGGGTGAATAAACTATTCAACAAAGACGAGAAAAAGCGACTAGAAGTGATAGAAAAACTTGAAATTTCTAGACATTCTAGAAAATTCTTCGCTTCGAGCAGTTCGTAGCATCTAGGAAGCCCTGAAATCAAATTTTGCCCACATTAGGAAGTATCTAGCAGATGACCATAAGACCTGTGATGTCAGAGGGATCGATATGTGACCTACGACCTAGAGCCCCAAAAATTGGACACTACAGTAAGTTTTCTCAACTAAAGTAGGTCCAAATGAAGCACCTCTGTAAATCCCGCATAAAAGTAGAGATCAACTAAACACGGGCAGTTCAGCAATGAAAAAAAGTTGGTCCGTAGTGAAATACAAAAACTACGCCACTATAGCAAAGATTTAAGCTTAAATTAGCAATAAATACATCTAAAATACCCAACATTATAAAAAGCGGAGAGTTTTGACGCTGTTTCACAAATTTGGCAAAGTGCCAAGTGTGCAGGGTCACAATATCTCGACCTACGATGACCTACAATACGCCGATATCGGTAGTCGCCTCGCCGCAGGACGCCGCGCGATGTCGCACGCCCGACGCGCGTTTCGATTCGAAAATAACACTGATTTGGGGGCTGTGCGGCAAGGGACGAGACACGCGGCGCGACGAGTGCGATGCGACAGGTTTTGCGCGACGTGCGGCGCGACGGCGCGTTGAGCGGCGTCGCTCAATCGAAGCTATCGACTTCATAGATTCCCGATATAGGTCAAAGTTGATCTGTTCGCGCTGCTGACCACTCAGATAAGGAAGACCAATATTTGCTTAAGGATGTTTACAGCTTGGAGCTTGTTTAATGCTTAGGAAGTTAGTGAAGTTCCTATAGTAAATTATTACTAAATTTCTGTTTTTTACTAATAATTGACAGAGTTTCGAAGGGCCACATCTGGTAGGGCGCTTTTTCAGTCGATGCAAGTGTAGCGCAGTGGTTATGTCCTTGGACTTCCACTGCAACGGTGGGGGGTTCGATCCCGTTGCCAGCCAATCTGTTTTGACCTTGTTAAAAATTATTTTCTAGTTTTCTATAGCAACATGATAAGTTCTTCTAACAGCGCTCGGATGGCTTAGTGTATACTATTCTTGCTTTATAACCTACGTAGGTTGAGTCCTGTCTTTGGCCAAAAAATTTTTTTTTCGAAAATCCATTTCTTTGAATTTGTCTAAAGTTCTCATATTAATGTTTCTTTTCCTCTGACTTCTCTGATCCTCTTCGGTGAGAATGAACTCAGTACAGGACCTCATCTAATTCCTGTCCAACTTGCGAAATAAAATTCCACGTGGAAATGATTTACCCTATGGCTGGGATCGAACCCGGGACCTCATGACTACCAGTCTAGTCACTTATCCACTTAGCCATCGCGACAGAAATCGCTGTAACTATTGCATCCTTCCAATTGATCAGTTTTCGCACAGTGCTAGTAGTTCTAGAGTCTATTTATGCAAAATATGGATATTGATCGAAGTGACCGCAAATTCTTTGAAAATTTTGGGAATTGCTTCTGACGGGACTGAACCTTCGATCAATCGGCCTAGAGTCCATCGACCTACCATTGAGCTATGGCAGGACTTCATGTGATGTGTCGCAACTCTTCATATTTGGTTTCAGCATTACTACTTTATTTTAACTTTACTAATATTATCCAAACTGTAAAGAAATACCGTTATGTGTATAGTAACGACTAAATTGGTTATTAATAGCTTAAGCGGAAATCAAGTTCCTAAAAACTCCTAAAAATCTTTAAAAGGCTGGCGGTCACTGCTGCATCCGCTAGTGATGACGTCATCATAGCGCATACGTCGCAGTTTGACTCGCCGCACCCACTTGATTATCAAGACTGAACAGTAGATCACACCTGTCTACTAGAGTACAGATCAGCTACCGTATCTTGACTAGAAATAGGCAATAAATAAACTAACAAGTAGGTCAAAGTGCTCAGGATATTTGTAGTGAACAATAATAATAACAGAGAAGCAAGTAAAAATGTGAAATTTCAAAAGTTCAAAGAAAAAAAAAACAGCTGATGGTCTGTGATCTGGCACGGAACCAAACGGCCTTATCTCGTGATCATTTCCTTTTCGACGTGGTCGTCTAATGGTCTGTTTCCATTTCGTTTTTTCCTGAAAAGACTTATGTACAGTTGCAGGAAAATGAACATTTAACTATTTCAAACATCCAAAAATTGAAAAAAATCACTGCTAATCCAGCAGAAGTACACTAGCTCTCGGATTTTGCCCGAGCGAGGACTCGAACTATGGAGCTTGACGTCACACCTGACCACCAATCAATCGCTTTACCACCTAAGCTATAGCACTACGTTTGCGACTCGTATCAGATCTCTTTTCTTATAATGTTACGCTGCAAATCGTGTAGAAATGGCCAGATGCAGCAAAACAGTGACGTAAATGTAAATAACTTGGCTTTAAACTTTTCAAAGTTGAAAACCATGGTTATTAGAATTTCGCTATAGCGAGGACTCGAACTATGGAGATTGACATCACACCTGACCACCAATCAATCGCTTTACCACCTAAGCTATAGCACTACGTTTGCGACTCGTATCAGATCTCTTTTCTTATAATGTTACGCTGCAAAATCGTGTAGAAATGGCCAGATGCAGCAAAACAGTGACGTAAATGTAAATAACTTGGCTTTAAACTTTTCAAAGTTGAAAACCATGGTTATTAGAATTTCGCTATAGCGAGGACTCGAACTATGGAGATTGACATCACACCTG